CTGCTAGATTCTTGTTGATTTTGCCTCTCGTTACGATCACTTTGCTTGAGACAAAACGAAATTGACAATCTGGGTTTCTTCAAAAATGGGTTAATGAACAAGGGTTTTGAAAATTGGGATGTTTTATACGAAAGGAAGCAGCTTGAATGTAGCCATGAGATAGGCCTGGAACTCAAAGCTGCCATTTTTCTTTTCCAATGATCAAATCTCAAAATTTTGAGTCCAAAGTCTTATCCTTTCTCCTACCTTCAAATTTTACAGTCTGCTCATAAGTGGAAAACAACAAGGAAGTGACGACATCGTTAAGAGTTTTGCCGTTTATTTATCATAAAAACGGCACGACTTGTGACTCTAGAGTAAAACTTTGTCACTCTATGACTTAGGATGATTATATGATTTCATTTATGAAGTTTATAAGACTCGCAAGAAGAAAATATTTCATAGAGCTTTTCACTATTCACATGTCAGTTTTTGATCAGAACTTTTCACTGTGCTGAGATCCTTAAAACTCTATAATAGTGTATTTCAAAAACATGGATAATATTAATGGGATTCGCAGAGTTTCCATTGCTTTACTGCTTCGCTCAAACGGACTGGAACCGCGTTAGACCAATCAATAAGATTAGGTAAATCTCCGGTCAAGGCAAGAAAGTTGAGACCTTTTGAATCCGGTGTTCTCTTCCAGCTAACCTGCATCGAGGATAATCCGAAAAAATTGGGGTTACTAAATCTTTTTATTACTTTATCCCATTCAAAACAAGTAATTAACAAAATGTTGGAAGGTGAAATGTACTACACTTACTTGTCCAGGAAATGCTTCTAATAAGATCTTGATGGTAGAATTCAACATCCAAGAAAATTCACCTAGCTCCAAATGTGGTTTTCCATCTGTTACAACTTGTTCTGTTTCGATTCCCGCACAGTTCACCATGATGCGACCGTTAGGCATCAGCCTGCTAGCTAGATCCAGCCACATTGGAACCTGCACAAAACCAACTTAAGAATACTCACAGCGCAAAGAGTCTTATAGTATGCGACAATAACCGTTTAACGTACGTGTTGTAGCTGTTCTAAGACCTTTCCATCAGAGAACAAATCAACAATGATCCCTAAAGCAATTTACATTAGAATCCAAGAATTCAAACAAATAACCATAATAGGCAACAACATACATTTATCTCTGAAAAATCTTACCGGCATATCTTCCTGCATCATCTTGAGAATGAGAGAGAGCATCATCTTGAGAATGAGAGAGAGCATCATCTACATGAACACAAAGCCTACCGCCTTTCGATGTCAGTATCTCTAGCTCAGATAGACCAAGATAGTCTCTTGCTTTCTCAATCAACTAATGCCCCTTAATAGAAATCACAGTGAGCTCCAGATTCCAAACAATGCAAACGAAAAATGCCGCAAGAAAAAAAAAAAATGATTGTGTCAAGGTACATACAATTTCATCAATTTCCCAACCTTCAAGCTGCATTGAAGGCCACAACTGAAGAATCAATCTTGCAGCTGTTCCACCACCCTAAAACGCACACATGAACACAAAATGTATAAACACATCATTAAGAATTAAAATCGGTATGAGATTCTTCGAGTAGTTCTCACCAAGCCATAGATTGCAATGGGGCCATTAGGGATAATAGGAGGCAAACTCGAACACTCATCCTGCAACAAAATGTTGATAAAATCACATTTACCCAAAAAGAGAAACAAACAAGGCTTAACAAATTTGTCTCTTTTCTAAAGATTCATGAAAAATCTAACATACCCAATAGGAATCAGTCCAATTTTGGCCTCCTTTATTGATAACACTATGAACATTCTCTACATAATGAAAAAAAAACTCACGTTACAAAAACAGAGGATTTGGTAAAAATGCAAACTTTAAGAAGACTTGGTGTTTAAGAAAACTTCACTAGTTGAATCAAGGAGAAGGTATCTGGAAGAAACAGTATCCACTATAACAATCTCATTGTATCTGCTTCTTACTGCTGTTAAAACCCAATA